TTCAGTTTTAAAATGAAACACATTTAACAACATTATAGTGCATCTGACATTAAGAGATCATCTGTGCTGATAACTGTGTTGAAAAACCTTTCTCTAGCAAATAAGCTGGCAAGAACATTTCTTCTCCCTGACAGAATTCTGATTTTGGGTAGAGTAAGCATTGATGACAAAGTCCCATGAAGACAGTACAATGAGACAGAGCCAAGTCCAGAAGCAACAGTGTTTAATGAAGGAGAAAATTGTTTAATTTAGCGTTTAGCTCAAGTATCTGGGCACATGGTGACTAACGCTCAAATGTATTAGCAGAGGTAGTGGCCTGTCACCTCTGCCTCCCTGCTCTTTGCTTCTGTGGTACTATCTGTGACAAACAGTACATTCGTATTTTGTGCTGCATTTGTCTGAACAGGAGCGTGTGTGTATATGTGCTTGTGGCTGTGTGCGCGTGTGGACTGTCAGATGAGATTTCAGTATCTGGTTCAGTACAAGATGATCTGGGCAACTCACATCATAAAGGTGTATGTTTCAGAGCCAGAGGCACTTCCAATGTAGAAAATGTGCTGGCTGTCTCTGCATTTTTTTGTTTTTACATTTCATCGTGTGAGACTTGAGAGAGGACCTTCTGTGCCATGGAGGGAGCATGGAGATACATGGATTTCTTACCCTGGGCTTTGAATGTGTTACGATACTATTTTGCCACTGTGTGCAGAGCAATTCTGCTTTATTTTTTTCACCTATTAAGGTATATCTCTGGCCATTTTGAGAAATAATACCATAGTTTATCAGACAATTGCCTATATGCAGATGAGTCTCAATTCTGCTTTTTCTTTTTGTCAAGTTCAGATACTGCAGTCTGCCTTCTTATGCCTGGCAGATAGAGAAATATCTGTCTGAGAGAAGTGCAACCTTATTTAAGACAGAGGGAATAAAGTTGAACCAGGAGGGAATCAAAAGCATTACAGAAATTGCCTAGACTGCAAGCAGTCCTTCAGTTGGTGAGGATCAGATACACATTCCTCTGTCACTTAGCAGTGTCTAGCCTGTATTTTATCTGCTTCTGAATCTCAGTTCCTTGATAACAGCAATCACGTATGCCATACTCTCTTCTTTTATCTACAGCTGCCCCATCTATTATGGCAACCCCTCTTTGATTGACAGTTATCTATTTTTTTCTGACCTGAGGACAAGCTTATTGCAATGTGCTCCTTTTAGTGCTATCACTGAAACACATCCAAAGGCTTTGACTGGTGCATAATGTAGCAGTTCAGCATTTGAATGAAGTGTACACATATTATTGGGAGCAGCCATGGGTTTTGTTGCTCTGCCACATCTACCAGTTAATGGAAGACAGAGTTCAAAACATGTTAAGTGGTAGAAATGGCTTAGTGGTCTGAAATGCTGTTTTTTTGCAGAGAGTGCTTTGTTCTACCTGTGTCCAGCTGCTATAACATGCAATGTTGTCTGTCTGTGTGGCCAGTTCCAGAGATTTTAACAGTCAGAAAGAGATAGCCCAATGCACTGCTCTAGGACAGCATTGCCTTGTTGAAGATGAAGGGTCTTCTGCTGGAAAACATCCAGTCAAAAAGCACAAATTTCAGCAGTTTGGTTTATGTGGATGAATATACAAACCTAGGCATCCTCCCCGTGTTCAGGGGATGGACTGCATTCGCTTCCTAAGTCCTAGCCTTTTGGTATGGAGAATAAAAATTATGCCTTTCATTGCATTTCCTACTGGTAATTTCCACCTTCTACGTAACACATCTATATCCTCATGTAAGGATGCCATTTGCCACTGGGGTTCCTTTACCATTAGGGTTCAGTTTCCTGGTGAGCTCAGATACGAGGCATTTGCAAATTTCTCTCTAAAATGTCAGGGAAGGGTGAAATGGAAGAGGAGCTGGGACTGGCACCTCTTGTACCATTCTTCACCAAGTTGTGTGTCTGTGTTCATCAGGGTAGGGAAGCCTTGGAGACCAGGCATGGCTCAGGGGAACCCTGCACACTAGTTAGAGCAGAGATGATGGGCTCATTTGTTACTGTGCGTACTGGGATATGTGGAGGTGGCAAAACCTAGAGATTTTAATGGCTTTTGATATCAGCTTTTCCTCTGCCCTATGATAAATGGCAAGAAAGTTGACCTTCTTCTTCCCAGCTCCTGAAGGTCAGGCCTGGGAGTCCATGGGAGAACAGGGGCTGCAGCGGAGCTGCCTATGCAGTATTTGTTTGGAGGGACAAAGCAGGAGCCACTTCTGGATCTGTCATTTCTCTCACAGCTCCCAAGTGTGGCATTTTAAAAGAGTGAACCTTGGAGCATTCTTCATGTATAAGCTCTTGGGGTTTGCACAGTCATGTTCAGTGTAGGAGTGTTTCTTGATGATGTCTGTCTCCATGGATTCAGAGGTGACACCGTGTTTGTATGTTGCCTCTCTTTCACTACCACCCCCGTAATTAAGGCAAAGATACTGAATCACATTCAAAAAAAATTAAAATTTCCGGCAAACCTGTAGGCCATCTGTTAACGTGGGCAGGCAAGAAGATACTGGGTAGGAAAACTCAGTCACATGGCAGTGTTTATATCTCTCACCACAGACATTTCTTTTAACCACGTTAAATGCCATTTTAATTATTGTCTAAATTCTTTTTCTGTAAGAAATTGTAACAAACAGAAAGACTGTAGTGAAATGGTTCTTTGAAAAGAGATCATTCCTCAATCACTGTATAAATATGCAAATCCCATCTAGATTTTAAAACACCATTTGTTTTATTGTTAAATGTTTTAGTGTTTTGATAGAAAAACCTCTATCAGAAAACCAGCACTTTTGGAAAAAAACTTTAATTGTCTTCTCTCTGAGACTCAGGGGATAGCATGTGAATTGCATCACATTCCTGACATTGCAGGTGTTATCGGTGCTGACACATGGTGGCATACAGCAGCTGGCATTTGATACAGTGCAGTAGAAAATGCCCCGAGTCCAGTAATGTCTACTTGTGATACGTCTTGTACAGTATAAAGATACAGTCTGTTATCACTTCTGACAGCCACAGCAGCTATGACTCCTTTCTCCGTTTCTACCAGAAAGAAAGTGACTCCTCGGAATTAGCATCCCTTTGTGTTCCTAGCCTGCGAAGGCAGGGATATTCTTAGCAGTACCCTGTGGATTAATATTCACAACAAACTAAAAATATCAGGCCAATGCATACATTGATACGCTGTTCTAACCCTGAAAAGCTGTGCCTAGCACTGGTTTCTTACATATAGTATCTATGACCACAAACCTTTCCTTGCCTGTACTGAATTTTTTATTTCAGAAATAATTTAAAAGAGGTAAGTAGTTCTAAGGACTATGATGTGTCCTTTAATGGCAAGTTCTTCCCAAAAATCTGATGACACAAGAAGGTGGCTTACTAGTCAAGACTGTTTGCAACAAAAATGAAAAAAATCAAAATCACTTCTTTCACTAGAGGAAGACCTAGTTCACTGATTAACAGGTAATAACTAGACAACATGTTAGTAAAGGATATTAAAGACTGACAGTCTCTGGCACTTAACTTCATGCAGACCCCTGAAAAATAATCACTCCCTGCAATGGGAGACTTGTTAGTGGGGAAGGGCGCTTTCACGGAGATGTAAATAGCAAAACAAGCTGAATCTCCCAAGACTTGAAAATGTAAGGGTGGTTTTGCCTCATGCAGAGAGAATCACTGTCCTTTCTAGTTTGTGCTGCTTGGGAAGCCTTTAGAGATGACCAGAAAGCAGTCACACTGCTGTTAGCAAGGAGAGCCAGAGAAGTGTTGTGTTCCCTGGGTTCCTCTGTTCATTCTCTATCCTGGCCCTTGCTGCAGCCTCCTCTCCATCTTCCACCTTCAAAGGCTCCTTCTCAGAGTGCCAGGGCTGGGCAGAGTCCAGCCAATCTGTCAGATTTGGCAGGGCACATGATAGAGAATTTACACAAGTTTGATACTTCTATGACAGATTCCTCTCAGCTACTGGAGGACAGAGGATTTCTCAGTTGGCATAGAGTTAGAGCAGTCTGTACAGATAGGATCTGCTCTGGCATAAAGCCCTCTGTGACAGGCAAATTTAAACCAGCACAATGGCTCTTTCTGTTTTACAGCAGAGGTGTTTCTTACCCTGTGTCAGAGACCAAATTCTGGACCTACATAGTGTGGCTCAAGGATTTTCAAAAGCTTGAGGTGCAGCACAGACCCTTTATCCCCTCATTTGAGAAGCCCGTCAAGCCTTGCACGTGGAGCATGCCTTGGCTTCAGCTCTTGCTCTGCCACAGCGCAGTTTGGCCAGAGACCAACTGCACCTGCTGGAGAGAGGCTTCAGGCTTGCAAGAAGGAAGAACATCCTTTTGGTACATTTAGCCCCCTGTGCTTCAGGGCGTACCCCACGTGTGCAACTGCAGGACAGGTCTGCCCTCTGAGTTAACATTGCAGACCTCTGGCTTTCTCCTGTGACCTCCTGGTAGCAGCTCACACATCAGGACGCCAGTAAAGGGATCTGTCTAATACCCAGTTATCACTCCAGAGGGGAAGCAGGCCATAATTTTTATGCTGTCATTATGTAGCAAGAGGATTTCATGGCCTGGTTGTGAAGTGAATGCTGCTGGCAGTCTGTGGCCAGGCACCACCCATATCCACCCTTTTGTTCCAAACACAGCAGATGCTGGAGTGGGAGAAGGAAAAATTTTCCCTGCTCCAGCTGATGTGAAAACCACACCTGGGTGGAAGATGGGGGCTTCAACCTTTGCATAGGACTTGTAAGACTCAGGGAATGCAATACCTGCTATATGTGGCCCCTGGCTTGGGCAACTGTCTAACTTAAATTCTGATTACTCTTAATTACCAGGCTGAAGTGAAAGTTAAGAACAATGAAAATGGAAAATTGAGAAACCTGGAGTATATATCAGACTCCCCTGCCATAAGTGTCCGTCTGTGAAAAGGGAACAGATGTTACTTATTTTACATTTCATTTCAGACCTCCCATAAGCACTCACCTTCTCAGTGCAGGGGTGTTACTGGTTGTTCCTCCCTGTCACCGCTGTGTCCAGGGTGGCTGCCTCTGTTTGGGGGGACAGAGCGGTGCCTCCAACCAGGCCACTGCAGGGCGGCTCAGAGTATCTCCACGGCCCTGCGCTGAGCTGCTTGGCCTCCTTAGGCTGCAGCGAGTCAGCTAGGGAGACAGTGGTGCTGTATGAAGCTGGTGAAAAAGTAGCAGGTATGTCTGAACAGACAGAGTTCAAGAGAGGTAAAAATGTTGGTCTACTGAGAGTTGTAGCAGGGGAAGAGTCACTTGGACTGAGATCAAATGCAAAGTCTTTTAAATAAGACAGCGCTTGGTTATTTAGCTGGGCATATTCAAAATTTATCTTGCTTCTAGTGACCTCATCTAGGAGTTTTGTTCTACTTTTCTGATCTTCTGAGCAAATTTGCTCCCCATTTTGCTTCAAATGATACAGACTGCTGGATTGGAAACTTGTCTCATAGTTGTACTGGTTTGTGTTAGGAATACTGGAGTATTCTGAATTTTGGGCAATGCAGTTGCATTCATTTTGCAACAACAACTTGTTTTTGTACTGAGACATCTTACGAATGATACTGTTCATTTCATTCCCAATGAATTTGTCTTCCAAGTGCTTGTTTTCATAGCTGATCTTTAATGATGCCACTTGTGTTACACAGCGCTCTAAGAGCTGCACTATGTTAGTGCTGCTCTCTGTTGGTGTGGGGCTAATGTAGCTCTGGAAGCGTCTGAGAGTGAGAGGCTGCAGTGGTTTGTCACAGGAAATCGAGAGAGAGTGATACATTGGTTTATTTATGTCCTCCCTCTCAGGGGGATCTAGGAGTGAAGTCGCAGCAGTCTTGTAGGAGTAACATGATTCTACTTCATGATTATCATCTAATGAAGGATTTTCAGAGCTCAGGGAGCCACTCTCTCTGTTCAGCTTTTCAGGCAGTGGATTTTTATCTCCAGATGTCTCACATCCTTCTAAAACTGTCGCCTTCTCATTCTCAGTTGGAGATGCCTGCAGATTGTCTCCATTAGCCTGTGATGGTGGTGCATAACTTGATGCTCTGGTGGTTTCCACTGTCCTAGGCGCTGTAGATGAATCTTTGTGGTGACTCCCTTCCCTTTCCTGGAAATCCAGATTAGAAGTGTTAGGGCAAGAGTCCAGGCCGTGGTCTCTTTCAGCAATGTTTACTGAAGAGGCCTGAGTTACGTATTTGCTTTCATCCAGAGACACTTGTAAGTTAAATATATTAGATTCTTCCTTGCTTGGTTTCTCCTGCTGAGCTTCTGTACTCACTTTCTGCTCTGGACTAGGGCTGGGTGGGATTGATGAATCATTAGACTTTTCTGGCTGTGACTGGGGACCCTGAAGAGAGTCAGGGGAGGAAACAAGTCCCGAGTGTTTTCGCAGCCAGTTTATTATCCCCATGGTCAGTGAAAGCTCAGTATCGCAGAGCTTTAGCAAACATTCTTTGCCTTTCCATGTGCTGTGGAAAAAACCCTGGCTGATAATATCTAGAGCTGGTTGGGAAGCCATGTTCTCCTCAGCTCCAACATGAAAGCTGTAAATGGACAAAGGGATTTCAATGGCTTGTTCTGAGATGCTTTCAGATGTGCACATGTCATCGTCTAGGACTGGGTTTATTTTGACTTCATTTGGGTCATAGAAGAGCTCATAAAGAGCATCTCCACTGTAGCTGTCTCTCGGAAATCTACCTTGGACCCCAGGGGTCTGAGCTTCCTTCATTTCATCATCTTGTCCAGGAGAGAATGAATCATAATAGCCTTCATCACTTGTGGATGTGGATTCTTGGTTGTCGCTTTTCGGCGTTCCTGTTTCTGTGGAGCTCTCTTTGGAATTGTCACCATCTTTATCAGGTGACACTTGGGGGTCTGTCACAGATGCAACAGCCTGGCCTTTTCCAGCCTTTTCCACGTCAGGACCAGGTACCTTCAGTAACTTCTTATCAAACAGAGCACTCTGATGCAACCTCACCGATTTGTTGATGTTGTCCCAAAACTTTGCAAATTCAACAGTCTCATTCTGGCCAGGAGAGGCCAGCTGCTCCACACCCCCTTGGAAAGAGCCCATGACAGGGCTGTCTTTGTGCTTGCTTCGTCTCAGCAGAACTTCTTTGCTGTTCTCCAGCTCCAGGTGAGCAGAGCTCTCATCAGCAAAGATTTCCCCACAGCCAGTGAGGGAATCAAAGCTCTTCAGTGAAGCAACATCTTCACACAGGGTGTTGCAGCAGTCATAGGAAGAGTCAGACTGCAGTTCACTGTCTGAGCAGTCTTGTGACAAACAATCAGCTGCAAATGTTTCTCCAGTTTTGAAAAGATACTTTGCAAGACGCCCAGAGAACTCACTTTTGCAACCTGGAGAGGATAGATTCTTTTCCTTCTCAACCAGGAACGTGAGGCTATCTGGTTTATTTTTTTTAATATGAAATATATCTCTGAGCCCTTTCTTTGATCTCTTGAGGGAGATCCTCTTCCTGGGAATGGTTTTTGCAACAGCTGGTACAAAAGGCATCTGTGGCACAAAGTTCCTGTAATCAATCATCTGACTGCTGCATGCAGACTGGCTGGGGCTGACCACACACTCTTTCTTACTGCTGGAGCTGGACACCCCTGAAAAGCTGATGCTATTAACAAGTCGGCCCTTACCCTTTCCAGAAAAACCTTCCTCACAAGCCCTGCTGCTGGGGCTGCAGTGCTCTGTTCTGTCTGCCTCAGTAACACAGTCATGGGTTTTACTCTTCCTTACAAGTTTATAGGAGGACCCAGATGATTTTTCCAGGTTATTGTCACCAGCTCCATTCCTTGCTGCTCTGGTAGAAAATCTGTAGTTCTTGTGTGTGGCCAAACATGCCAGCTGGACTTCAGCTGCACTTTGGTTTCCCTCCAGAGCTGCCTTCTTGTCTTTCCCTGTGTCGTCTTTGTTAGTAGGCACTGTGTGCACTGGTGGTGCTTTCTCATGTTGCACACTGGATTTTATGAAGGTCTTTCCTCTCTTGAGCTCCATACTGCTTGCTCACATCTGTTTCTGTAAAGAAAACAGCAGAACAAAAATATTGTGAGGCTGGTGGCTAGCACCTGTAAACTTTGAAAGCAACTGGAGAGCAAAGGGATAGATATTAAGCATTACACAATTGGGTTTGTTTGTCACCAGAAATTTCCATCATTGTGTGAGAAACAGATCAAGTGAAACCGAGGGTATGTTGGCAATGGCTGGAAGAACCAGCAAGGAGAAGACAGGACACATTACAGGTTGGTAGCTGAGGCTCAGAGAACATTTTGTCTGTCAGAAATGAGAGGTTTGGGATCTTGGATTATGACTTTGGGATGGCTTTTAACAAGACAGAGGTCCTATTGTTAAAGTAGAAGAGGCATCAATGAAAAGCAATGCCTGAGGAACTTTAACATGCAAGGGAGTTCGTAAATCTGTCCCTTTGAGGAGGATGAAGAGCTCAAGGTGGGAAATGTCCTGACAAAATGGATCAAACATTTGACACAATGCTTACTTTATATTAAAATAATCCTTACCTGTGAATAGAAAATCCATTGGTACTACCCTGGGAAGCATGCAGAAACTGAATTACTGTTTTTGCTTCCTCCTGAGCATAGTGTATAATTTTCTGCACTACTAATTTTATTGTGAAAAGTTAAAAATGCCACATTGGAAATCACTGTTAATTATGACAGAAGTGTCGTTTCTGATTTACAAAGACCAGTGTAGTAAACTGAGGCACTGCCACAGTGAATTTTCATTGTGCATTGATGAGCTATTGCTAGAAATACTCTATTACATGTATCAATGCCAATTTTGGTCTCTGCCTATATGGCTTGGTATTGAATCTGCTTTATGTTTTCATACATCTAATTAGTCATTAATTATTTCAGCCATGACACTTTCAGTTTTCCAGAAGTTATATCATGGACACATCTGATCCTTTCCTGCCTTACATCAACTTGAATACTGAGTAAGTCAATGGATTTAGGTAAAGGGTAGGCCAAGGAAAAAGGAAGCACTTCCTAAAAGCTGTTAGAGAAACGGGATTTTTACTGGATGGTAAGCAGGACAAAATCTCCAAGTCCTGTTCTTGAAAGAATGTGCTTGGATCTTTCCTCAGTGAGACCTCAGTTAATGATCTATCTTGTGTTGAATTGTTTAGACATAATTAAAACCACTTAGAGGCACTGTACTGCAACACACACAACCACCACAGTGCTATCTCTAGTACTCCATGACAAACAGTATTTAACAGGTCTGATGAAATGAAAAATTACCAATACTTCCTTGAGAACAATCTCAGATCAGATCCGTGGATCCACACCTGCACCCAATACTAAGCCAGCCAGGGAGATTTTAAATTCAGCACCAAGCCTAGCTTTTGTACGCTCTTAAACTACAACGTAAAGCAGTCTTTAGCCTACCTTGAACTACAACAGCTGTCTGTAGCCTCCAGGGGCTTTCCAGTTGCCAGGACTTGCTGGGAATGGCACCACTCTGACCAACACCTCACCAGATACGGGTCTGTGTGTCTGGGAGTTGTGTCACTTGCAGCTCTTCTCCAGCAGGCAGGTCAGTGACAGCCTGTTTCTCATAGAAGCTGCAAACCAGCAGGTGATTAAGCACTATTTGCAACTAAATGTAGGTCAGTGACAGAAGGTAGAAAACAGTAAAGTGTGAATATTTGACATCAAGACTATGGATGCTATGGAAAACAAGGTGGGTGATGATAGATGGGCACCTATCAGTATGCCTGAGATGTTGGCACATTTATTTGCTTTTGGGGCCGCATGTGAGTACTGCAGAGAATTCTCAATGAAAGGCAGTAAACATTTTACTACACTGTCAGGTATCTGGAGTTCACTGATGCTGCAGGAAACTTGTTTTGCATATTTAGAAATAGGTCACTGGGACATGATTACATTCCTCTTCTGAAAAGCAAGGTGTGATTGAGAAGAAATTCAGTGCACAGAAATCCAGCAGAGTTGTGAAAACTATTAGAAACAGCTGACGCAAGACCAATTATTAATATCCAGAATATAAAGCGTCTGACAGCTCAGTCCTTTGTAATTGTAGAAGTAAGTACTGTGTCCCTGTGGGAAGTCCTGCTGCTGAGAAGTTCCTTAGAGGTCTGTGACATGGCAAATGTTAGTGTTATAAAAATGTTATGTAGGACTCTCTGAAGTCCTACGGCTGTTTCTGCCCATTCTGAGTATTAAGCAAGGGTCATTTTTGTAGGAAATTGCATACTCGAGAAGTTTTTCTGCAGATGTATTAAAAAGGCTTTTAAAGGTGGATTCATTTTATTGTCAAGTATGAAACTCGGTAAAGCTACAAATTCAGGACGTCATTAGATAATATTTTGAATAAAGAAATCTTTGATCTGAATTGTTTCTCCTTGACAAAAACCACAATGGACTACCAGTTTGATAACTGGGTCTAGAAACTTCAAGACTTGCTCTATCTTTTTTTTTTTTTTAATAGACTAGATGAACAATTTTAACATGAAACCAAAATGGCCTGAATAACATCTTGTACTGAGAATATATGTAGTATAACAACATATGATACACTCATGGTAGCCTATGATACCTTTTCAGATTCCTCTGATGAGAAGAAAAAAAAAAAGTTAGGTGTTGTTTGTTTTGTTGGGGTTTTTTAAAGATCTACTACACATATAATCACCAACTTTTAATGATAATTGTTTAATGCCTCTATTTAATCCATTATATTCTTTTTCTCACTTTCCCCCAGGATTCAAGCCAGACTAATTAGTATCTAGTTCATTGTGTCATCTGCTTATTCTGTTTTAATGCTGTCACAGCTTTGGGAATCTTCCCCATTAAAAATGTTATTAAAAATGTACACCAAGAAAGGGAAGATCTCCTCAGTCAACTCTTGGAGGGCTTTTAAGGACAGACTACCAGAGTCTGAAGATTTTTTAAAATATTAATCTCAGATGCTGGTTTGCAACTTCCAATACTATGAGTTCCTCTTCATCCTCATATGATATAAATTATTAATGAGCTTCTTTCCAAATATAGAACAGAAATATTTATGCAATGCCACTCTCTTTTTCTATATCTATTAATATCTATTAATACTTTTAGCACTTTTGGTTGTATTGGACTTGATACCTTTTTTTGTCTCTCTGAAGAGACTCAAGTTATATCTCTAACCCCAGAAGCTGTAACAGTGAAGTTAGAAGCAGATTAATGTGCTGTAAGGGAAAGTTACCCTCCAGTGGTTATGTAAGGCTAATCAAAATTCTATGAAAAATGATTCTAGGAATTTAAAAAATGGTACAACTTCTCTGGGATTTCTTGACCCATACACTCAGCTACACTATTGCCTGCCTCTGTTCTTTTTTAATTATTCTCCTCTTGAACTTGCAGTATATCTCTTCTTCCACCGGGATAAAGGGTATATGAGGGACTGATTTCCGCCTTTGTAAATGAAATACAGTTTGCAATTAAAAATCACTGTAAAGATCAGAAACTTGTGGAAACTAGCAGTCAGTCTATGAAGGCTAGGTTGTTCTGTTTTCAACTGACTTTGGATGTTTTCTTCATTAATGTTACTTGACCTCTTTTTTTTTAATAACTGTGAAATTACTTATGAAACACATGTTTAAATAGAGGACATCCTTGAATCTTACACTGGGATGCAGTTTAATTGTCATTTACAATCATCTTAGGTGCAGCAGTGATGAGACTTCCCATCTACCATAAACAGTACTTTCAGCTGTCTTGATCATACCAGCTGCTTGCTTTTAGGATTTCACAAGTGTCCAAGCAGGCAATTAGATCTGAATTTGGGGCTTATACTATGATAGAAATAAGGTTTTGGTCTGAATTTGGATAATATTGTTCATAAAATGCAGAGATACTTCATGCTCAAACATATACCTATCTGTGCAGGGTGTCTGACAGCCTCTTCATAAAAACGGAGAAGGTTTTACTGTGTCTGTGATATGTCTAGAAGCAAATTAAAGTTTTAGAATGGGAAAGTGAACACATTCCTGTGGGCTGAGAAGACTTGGTCTTCAGACAGTCAAAGCCATTTCTTGTAGTTCTGGGTTATGAGGACCTGAACAAGTCTTGAATTAGGCAACTGTTCTCGTTAATAAAAGCCATATTCAGGTGGCCTAAATTCTGCCTAAGTCCATGTCAACAGACAAGGAGGCCAAAGAAGGTGCAGTGGAGCTGGACTAGATATTCATTAGGAAGCAGGAGGAAGATGGGCGGAGGCAGGATGCAAACTGTCCAAATATAGTCTCTGTCATGTGGGCCGGAGAAAAGAGGGGTCACATTTGCCGCTGCCCCTGGCCCCCAGAGCTTTCTGTCAGACTGAGCTGTCTACAGTTTTCCCTCTCTGGAGGAATGGGGTAAGACTTGCTTTGAGTTTTGGGCTGCTGTCAAAGTTATTATCTTATAACTTACTAGCTTATCTCACAGCAGAAAGGTTTGTTTAGGTTATCTTGAAAGAAAAGGCAAAATAGGTTGTGCTTTAATGTGTCAGTAGCTAAAATAACAGTCTTCTTGGATGTAACTCTGGGAAGATCACCCTCCTGGGAAAGTAGGAGTATCAGCTTCAGTGAGGTGCATGGATAGAAATAACAGTATTACAAAGAGAGAAATTTAGATGAACTCTCTGGCTTTGGCAAGTTTGGCTCAAAATTAATTTGCTTAAGTAGGAAAAAATGTAATTGGGGTTTATTTATTCCAAAATGAGGCGTTTGGCTTGGACCCTCCTACTTGTTTGTTTGATGTGTAATTTATATAAAATTATCTCTCTTGAAGATAGAAATAAGTAAAATTCAGAATACAGTCATTTTTCAGGGGAAATAGGAGTGCTCTTTCTGCTTCTTTACATTTAGATCATTCTTAAAATTAGCAGGTTGTGGAGATGGCACCTCGCTGTCTCTTTCTAAGCAGAATTCTGCATGCCACTTGGAGTCTTAATTTCACCTCCCTCCTCGCATTTTCCTTTTATTAAATGGAAGAGTTGATGAATATTTCATATTCTTTTAGGGTTTTTTTAATTTAAAAAGAAGGGAAAATTTTCTATTTGGACTGCTTTTATGTTTTAGGATGCAAGTTTGGAGTGAGTCCAAAATCCTTTTTCCACAAGTAGCTTTACATCAGTCATACTTAAGATCCTGAGTATCAGTTACCTTTGAAAATGTTACCCCTGCTTTCCAAACAGAAATGATAGCATAAATAAATTTCCTGAAAACATATATCTAGTTTGGGCATTTGGACATGTATTATGCTTAAAATGGATGCACTTTAAGATGAAATTTTTTTTAAATATTTGTTGAGAAATTGTATAATGGGAAAGGGAAAAAGAGAGTGCTCCAGGAGGCTCTCCCTACGCCAAGTTTACCTTGGGAGGATTTTTGCTGGGCAGCAGTTGGAAGTCCTAAAGTGCAAAACCAAGCAAGCATGAGGTGGTGAGAGATACAGCTACTTTTAAAGTCAGTGGACAATACTAATTTTTAATGCTTAGTATCTAATCAATTAGCAATGCATAAAGAACAGCTGGTGCTCCCAGTAGAGTGTGTGTGGGGGGGTATTTTTGAAATAAGACTATTTACAGTCAAAATCTTAAGTCTGTCTCAGAAAGTTAATAATGGAGATCCTTACTAATAATTACGAACATATATTCCATTCTGTTAATTTGATTTTTAATCACAAAACGAGAAAGTGCTTCTGTGCTAGAGGGTGGTGATACCCTGCCTGCAGTTACTGTAACACTGTTTCTAGTAAGCAAATAAACATAACAGGTTTTATGGTAAAAACCAAAGAGGATTTTAAAGCAGGGCTCATTTTCTGACTTAAACTGATTAGCCTGCTAGTATTTCATCTCCATTAGAAAACAGAAAAGAACAGGGCGGAAAGGATGGAGGATGTAATCAGGGATAGTCATGATTCAGGAAACAGAAGAATGTTTCTTTTTAAAGACGCCTGTGTGACACACAAACCTGCACTGAGATCATGCCTCTTCTTAGGAGTGCTCTTCTCAACATCATTAGTGGCTGCATCTTATCATTCCCCTTAATCATTTGCATCTCTTGGGTAATCCAGGATGTCTAATTATTTGCATATACATTTAGGTCAGGCAATAGCTTTCTCATGAAGAACCAGCAAAAAGCACATTGGTGTGTTTTTCTTCTACCTTAATTCCACTGAGCACATAAAGTAAAATCTTACACTCCCCAGCAGAATACTAGAAAGGATGTGTAGTTCAGTGCTTAATCTTATTAGCAATGTGCTATAGCGAAGCCTGAACCTTCCTTTAAGCCCTGCCGACTGTTCCGTGGAGCTCGGGATTTTTCATAGTAAAATTAACCACGTTTCTACTCCCAACATACTGTCCTGTGGTGTGCCTACAGGAGGGGTCCCTGGGGGTCCGGCAGCACCCGCTGCTTCCCCCAGCCCCGCCTGGGGTGTGCAGCAGGGCGGGAGGAGGCTGAGACCATGACAAAAGGAGGCTCCTTCTTCTGACAAAACCTCTGCACCCCTCACTCAGTTTTCTTCGATACCTGAGGCTGAAAGAAATGTAACTGCTTGAAATGTTCCAATTACACGGTGTAAAAGGGCAGCATAAACTCCTTCACAGGGAGCTATCGAATCACCACTATTTCTAGGAGAAGGCAGATGAGCAGAAATTTCCACTGTGTACCTGACCTGCAGCCTGTTGGTACCAGACAGCAAAGTGTTAAATGCTGTCAGCTTTGTTTTCAGTAATTTGTTGCTTTAAAAGGAGACAGGATGGGCATTTATATAAATACAGGCACACACTTGTCACATGTATGAAAATAAGTAAAAAACAATGCTTCAAAAATGAACAGTCTTCCCAAAATAATAGTCCCTCGGAGTCACTGTGAGTGTCAGAGCAAAGGAAATGCCATTGCACCAAAGCAAACAATAAGGCAGATCACAAAAATCCTACTCACCATGTTTTATCACTGAGCAGAAATCCTCTGTCTCCTAGACTTGCTACTGAGGCTGGTCTTTATCCAGAGGCTCCTGTGATGCTTTTCAGATTCTGAGGGGCTGGACCACTGCTGCTCTTCAGTGTTACTCTCCACCCCCTGTCTTTTCCTCCTCCTTCTTCCTTCATCCCCACCCCCTCATTCCTCCTGCTTGTAGCTTTTTCGTACCTTTCGTAGATTCTAGGTTTTCCACATGTAGCTTGATTTAGGAAAGATGCTTATTTCAGACATCTGCTTGATGCCATGGAAATGCTTCATTGCTAAGGAATAAAAGCCCAGAAGGTAAGCTCTGGAGTCCTGAGCCAGCATTTTGGTTCCTCTCTGTATGACTGCTTATTAAACAGGAAGGGACACATCCAAATTAATTTCATTTCTCACATGTTTTTTTTTTTTTGTTTCTGACTAGGATTCGGGAAAAGCAGACCTGACATGCTTTTAGGTTAGTGAGATGCTTCACTGTGCAATGTATGCAGATTACTGACCATGCCACCCTTTGTAGGGCTTTTGTTAATGCTGAAGTTAGAGGAGATTTCATGTGGGAGCAAAGTGGTGTAAAGGGAGAGTGAATATTTCTGATGCACAAAGCTAGAGTGCCTCATACTGCCTTCGACAAACAAGATTTATCGAATTCTCCTTACAGTCTAACTTCTGCTTCAGCATGCAGTGAAGCCAACATCTGAGGTTACATCATTCTTTGTTACATTATATGAGTTTATTATCATCACAAACAGCAGAGCTTTAACTTTACAGAAGTGTAAAGCTGGTATCCTTTCCCCAGCCCTCTCCCCAGGCAGGGCTTCCAGCCTGATCGTATCCTCTGAATCTTTTACATCAGTCTCTCAAACTCCCTGCCTTCTCCTTCCTGCTTGTTGAAACACCTCTGTTGGGGGCATGATAGGAGTCTCTTAGAAGCAGAAGTGTATGCCATGAAACAGGGGTTTAATCCACTTCAGTAGCTCTCCTCTAGGATAATGCAGTAGTTTGTGTACGGAGTAGCCTATCTGAGAGCAGTTTACCCTTCTGATGCAGGGGTAACATCACGGTCGCTCTAAGGTAATGAACAGGCAGCTCTCAGATGAATGGGTGAGATGGAGCAAGTTCAGACAGGTCCAGTCTGTGCAGGTATTTAGAAAATCCTTCAGCTCTGTATGAACTGAAGATTAGAGTTCCCTCACAACTGGAGCTGGTGCATCAGTCAGAGAGCTGATCTCTTCTGTCCCCACATGACAGCAGAAAGGGAACAAAGCCTTAACCTGCTGCCTGCTCTCATCTCCTTTTCAGTGTGCTTTATCTGAACCTTGGAGATGGGGGAGGGAAGGAACTTAAACTTCTGTGCTGTCTAAGCTTCTGAAGCTGAAACATCAGCCAGTTAACCTTAAAGGAGGCAGGACAGAGCGCCTCTGTTCTGAGTGCCAGCCAGTAAGCCACTCAGATGTCCCTGGTGGTAGATACTGGAAAATTACATCTTGGGAAACACCCAGGGTTAAATCCTGCCTGCCTCAAGTAGAAAGCCCTTGTGTGACTTCAGCAAAAGACTGGTGGGAGGAAAGAACAAGCTGTGGGTGAATTCTAGTATCTCTGGCAAGTAGATTCCAAAATGTCATGCCAATCATGAGAGAAAATACATTAATTAGAAGTAGAGTCGATGTTTTCTGTTCTGCATGAAATGTTTGTGTTAATATAGGAAGAAGACTTTCTTCATGATGGGTATATGAAGCCAACAAGTTTTCAGACAGCACATCCTTGCTCTGCAGTGATGTTGCTTTTGAGAGCCTCCACTTTCTGTTCTTTGCTTTGGAACAAGGGAGCCTTTAAAACTTTCAGGCCCTTCTTTGTTCAAACACCAAGACTTGTTAGAAATGCTGATAGACATGACAGTCAATCAGGGGTCACTTCTGGTGCTGCTTCAAGGCTGATGGCTGGTGTTGGTATTGTCTAAGCAAACCTAGGAAAACTAGGGGTTTAGATTTTTTTATCTGAAAAAAATATTCATGCACACAATTTCTGAGCTGAGTTTCTGAACTCTGAAGTGTAAGCATTCAAGGTAGAGGTACATCAGAACAGCCGTACCCAAAAATGCCATGTGGGAAAAGAAATAGACAAAAGAGGACACTTAAAATTGCCTTTGAAGACTACCTCATGTTCAACTCAGGCTCAGTAACACAAGCCATCTTCAAAGACTTGGAGAAGAGAACCTGACCAGGGAGGAGCTCTTAGCTCCGGTAGTATATCAGGTAGTTCCCATACCTGCTGTCTCTAGGACAGTCTGTTGATGCTCTTCAGGAACGGGGAAAGTTCTCATATAGATGTTCCTGTTTCTAACAAATGGCACCTGCTGTTCCTTTGCTGGAGGAGTTAGAGGAGATCACTCTAGACCTGGGTGAGATACCCAAATCTGCTCATAGTGGCTCAGGTAAAGCAGCTCCTGTGTAGAGAACTCCAGGTTTTAGGGTGTTTACTTTAGGATGTCCATGTGGACAAACATTTCAATCCTTAGGGCCTTTTATTTCCCTTCATCAAGGGAAGTGGCCTAAACCCATTGGCCATCCATAGCCATAGCTATGTGTGCTATCCATGGCCATAGCCATCCATAGCCACAGCCTGCACTGGCCTGAATCACAGTCTCATTGCATGCTCTGGTAAATGCACTGAATAGCAGCTGAACCGTGGTAGCCTTTATGCATTGCAAGAGAGCTTTTTCTTTCTAAATAGTTCCCAAACTATCTTTTTCTGCTATCACTTAATTTCAGGCTATTTCACTGTGGCTGTTGATCAGCTTGGTTCAAAAGGTTGGTTCTTGGAGATTCTAGTCATCCTCTCTGATTAATTCTGATTAATTCAATCTGTCCAGAATTGTTTCGGGCATCAGTGGGCATAAAAGGGAAGGGAAATCAGAAAACTGTAAATGAAGGGCACATGGAACAGCTACCATCTGTTTAGCAGAAGCACACAGCCCTTGGCATGGGGAGTAAGAGGGCCCTTGAGAGAAGAGAGACTAAGGAACATACAGTCCCTGGCGTGGCAAGAGTAGGGCAGCAGGGAACCTTGGTATCCAGTGAGGAGGACTGGGGAAAGGAAGAGGAAAATCTGCATAAGGGGCGGTATGGAGACACAAGGAGGGAGTTTTTAGATGAAGCAGGCCCAGCCTGCCAGAACTTGGAGTGGGTAGCAAATGTTTGCATCAAGTGATTGGAGACAGCTATTAGCATGAGCAACTCACAAAAAGCAAACTATACTATTTTAAAATTTTCTTTCATGAAAGAATGTAGCAGATTCTTTAACCTTGAGACTCGGAACAAAACCGTTTGCTGAGATAGCTCTATTTGTTTCCAAGGAATTACTTACAGAATGAATTTGACCCATACTGTTTCCTGCCAGTGAACTAATGAAGAGTCTAACATCCCCAATCCAGCTGAGCTTTCTGCTAACATCAGCTTAAACTTAATTATTCATGGATTCTTATCAGTATTTCTTGGGTTTGCATGTCGTAGAGAATTGGTAATGGGATATGGAGCTTTTTCTCTCCAGATTGCTAGCAGAAGACTGCCCTAGGTTGACAGGAACAATCTTTGCTACTTATCCGACCGCTTCTGAGGGCTTACATTAAGTTAATTGCTACTCTTCTCTCAGTTACTTGGTGACCTAGTGTCTGCTACAAAATTTAGGATTGTGAATTGCTGTTAAGCATATCAGTACTTAGCAAATAGAAGGATTTTTACCCACAGATTTCTGTAAGCGTATTCTACCCCGACATCTCCTGCCTGTCTTCCCCATGAGGCACTGTTGTTGCCTATTTGCTGCCAAGGGGGTGAGGTGGAGCAGGTAGGGTTGCAAGAGCCCCTTTCAGTACTGGTATTAAAAAGCTTGGCTGTCCTGCCTGCCAGCCAGCCCCCGGAGTGCCAGGAATGATGCCCCTGAGGGCAGGAAGAAGTGCTCAGTGCCTCCAGGATGGGACTGATCGTGTTATCAGTATTGCTGTTCCAGGTACTAGGGATGACTGATTGTGAACTGCTTGTTGCCTCAGAGAATGAAAAGGGATTTTGAGAAAAAAGAGAGTGGTGAGGACATTTCTCTAGTGCTCATGTTAGAATAGTGACTGCACCAAAATTTTCTGCTTCAGATAAAAAGCTCTCAGATAATAAATGCTTACATAAAAAATAAACGTGAGAAAAATCAGCTGCATTAAATGCTCTGAAGAACTACTCCAGAATTGTTCCACCAGACTATGAAGAACTCCAAAGCTCTAGAGACCAGAGACAACACCTGGGACATGACACCTCAGGGACCTGACCACAGAAATGTTTAAATGCAAGGGAGATTTTCAGAAGTTTTTCCATTCCAGATATGCCCGTGTGTCATATGCATCTGTCCAGATGATGCAAGAATATTCTCCAGTTTACTGAACTGCTACGGTCATTAACAAACGCTGCCTGTCTCAAAGGCAAAATAATCATTCAGCATAAAGCATGCAGGATGGCAAAACACACTATTCCATGGACATCCCAGTGCAACCTATAAGCAAATTTTTCTCAGTTTCTCCCGAGGAAGATGCTGTTGTGATGACTTGAGGGAAGGTTATAGGAAATTATTAATGACTATTTTGTATGATTTGGTTTTCCTTCTTCATTTTTTATTGCTCTCTGCCTGAATACATAGAATTAAGTGCTCTGAAGGCTTTGTTAAAGGCTTAGCCAGGAAATAGAAAAAAGAGATATAGGTGTAAGTAGCCATAGATACACAGCTTCAAATAACAGAGACAGACCATCAGTGAGGGAGAAACTATTTCAGTGGCTGTAATGGGATAGTCTTTCAAATGTTAAAGCAGGGATCAAAGGAGGACTAAAACCAAAATGACCTTGGTAGGAGAGAAGTGGGTAATTAGATAAAGTTAGTGAGGGTGGGTGCAGTAGCACAGTAGGCTCAGATCCACATGCCCAGACAGGGGGATACTGGGCTGGGAGGAGGACATGTTGCTGCTCCCACTTCTGCCTTTCAATGTTTGTGTGCTTTTTATTTTGTATCTCAGTGAAAAAATAAATCATGTGTTGCACAGAGACA